TGTTCCTTAAATTAGAGTCCCCTTCAATCCATCACTTTTGTGAGGGAAAACACATATGGAGAAGTCATAATTGTTTGGATAACAAACTATTCACATAGACATTTCTATACTACAATTAAGAAGGATAAAAAACATCTTTACTTAGGAGGATAATTCGAATTTAAAAATGCTTAAAATGATGAACAGCAGGTGTTCATTGTCCGTAATTCAGCAAATAGTGCTTCTGTCTAATTTCCTTATCACAAAACATGGATCAAAATTCAGAACGTGATGGAAAAAGAATCAACCATTTGGAAGAAACAAAAGAGAATACACTTCTTTGTTTTTTTAATAATAGCGTTATCTGGTCTAGTTTGCGTGCACCTCAACTAATTCCATGAGGTACCTGCTACCTCCCCCTAGCAAAAGTATCGAGTAACTCCATCCACCAAGGGCTGAACAAATATAATGAAATCACCTAATGTTTATTGCCTCAAGTGGGATTTAAACCTGAGACCTCATGATTTTCGATCCACTTCCTTAACTATTAGGCACCCTTGGGTGAAAAAAGATAATATGTTTCTATAAATTAAGAGTAAAAAAAGATTCTATTGAGCTGGTATTCTGTGTGATAAGAATATGCAATCAATATTTAAAGATAAGTTTTATAGAGTGGTGGTTAGACGGACTATGTTATGTGGGAAAGAGTGTTGGTCAGTCAAAAACTCTCATGTCTGGAAGATGAGAGTAGAATTGATGAGGATGCTGATATGGATGTGTGAGCATACAAGGAGAGATGAGATTAGGAATCAAGATATTCGGGCCAAGGTTGGAGTGGCCCCGTGGAGGATAAGATACGAGAAGTAAGGTTGAGATGATTCAAGCTTGTAAAAAAGAGAAGTGTGGATGTGCCGGTAAGAAAGCACGAGAGGTTGGCCGGTCGAAGGCTTGAGGACGGGTAGAATTAGGCCTAAGAAGTATTGGGATGAGGTCTTAGGCAGGACATGACGTAGCTTCAGCACATCGAGGATATAACCCTTGATAGGAGGGTGTGAAGGTCGACAATAAGGATAAAATGTTAGTAGGTAGTCGAGTGTTCGTTTTCCTATTCCCTAGTGTATTAGTATTAGTCTTGTATTTTCGTATTCTAAGATTTCTATTACAATCTGTTGATTTCTTAGCCTCGATTACTGTATTCTCTTGTTTTTGTTCTAGCTTGTTGCTACTGTTGTCTTTTCGTCTTTTCATCTGTTTTGAGCTGAGGTTCTATCGGAAACATCTTCTCTACCTTTTCAAGGTAATTTTTCAAGGTATGGATAAGGTCTTTGTACACACTACCCTTCTTAGACCCCACTTGTGGGATTACACAGAGTTTGTTGTTGTTGCCCCGGCGACAAAAATTACCTCCAACAGCCCTAGTGGTTAGTTCAATTAGCAAAGGTCGATGGACTTGTGTCTTAGGCAACAAGTTCAAGCCCTCGACCAAGTGAACTAAATCCACTATTTAAATAGAGTATGCTAAGAGGGGCGAACTCATCATCTTCTGAGTTTCGGAGATTACGATTAGCTCAAAGTACTAGTAAATTTCACGGTCATTAAGGTCTGCGTACACTCTACCCTCCACAGATCGCACCTGTGGGTTTATTGTTGTATTACACAATGGATCAATTGATTTCAAATTCCATCTCCGCTACTAGGCATATATTTCTGACTTTGTTTCATCGAAAAAATAAGTAATCAAAACGCTTAGGGTTCTAAAATCAAAGTGACGGAGCACACAAAAACACAAATTCAAGGGTTTAATTGAGTTATCGGAGTAAAAAAATCCCGAAAAAAAACTGATTAATTCAAAAATTGTCAATCATCGATACTTCAAACTTCGAATGAAATAGTATGAAGATATACGGCTTACCTGTTTTGCTCCGTAGTTCTTCGCCGGCGTTCGGTTGATTGCAGACGGCGATGTATCTGTTGACGAATCTAACTTGGTAGGTTTATTAAGAAAGGAAAAAAGGTTAAGTTCTCCCACTACTTTTGGTTTACAAATGTGCCAAACATCTCCCTTTTTTGCTTTTCCTTTTTAGTTTTTATTTTATTTTATTTTTCATTCGGTGTTTGATATTTTTTTTGTGATCCGATTAATTTGAATTTTATATAAATCAAAATCTGGACTTGATAGGTAGACGTGATTATTAGCTCGTCTAGTCCTGAGGATATGAGGTTGAGAATATCTCAATGGTCGGTCAGACTAAGCTTAAAAGGATAAAAGCATACTTTGAGTAATGAAAGAAAACGATATAATTTATCTAAACATTATACTCATTAAACAGTACAATACAATATAACACATATTACAAAATGATACATAACAATCATCCAAACAAAAAGTAAAGATAAGTTTATTCAAAAACTTAAATTCAAGATCGTCTCTAATTAAAAATGAATGAATATCTACCGCTCATATTACTTTTAATATTTTTTGCTTTCCATTTTGACATGCTCCCCTTGGGTACATGTCACTTCTATTACAAGGAATTCAACTTCCAATCCCAAATTAACATGCAATTAAACATGAGGTGGGTTGAAGTTAGCATCAAAGGCTGCAAATTGATCACCTTATTATATGATATTGTAATTTATTTTTTAAGAGATAAAGCATTAAAAATACTCTAAATTTGACGTGAATTATTATTTTAGTTCCTCAATTATTGACCACCTTAAAAATACCTATCTACTTGATTAAGAAATTTAAAAAACACTCCTCTTATATATGCCACAAGTCATTCACCTATGCATATATGTAAAAAAAATTATTGATACGATATACACATAGATATATATAGTAAAGAAAAAAGTATTTAAACACTCCTCTTTGATGTTGAAATTTCTTGGAGTAATTTTATGTCGGCAGAATTAAAGAAAAGAAAAGTAATTTTATGATGTTGAAATTCTAATTTTGACAAAAGTTTCCACAAGTTGGACATAATAAATTTGAACATATCATTTTTTTTCTTTCACTACCATACAATTTTGTCAAATTATTAGTTTAAATACTTTTTCTTTAACTATATATATCTATCTATGTGTACACTGTATCCATAGAAAATTTCACATATATGCATAGGTGAATGACAAGTGGCATAAGAGGAGTATTTTTTAAATTACTTAATAAGTAGATAGATATTTTTTAGATTAACAATAATTGAAAGATTAAAATAATAATTCACGCCAAGTTTAGAATATTTTCAATGTTTTTCTAGCATGTTGCTGAAGTTGCACTCATGTTGATTCAAACATCACAAACATCACTATCATAAAAATTGCACGCATGTTGATTCAAACACCATTATCATAAAAGTATATCCTAATATGTCACTACCTTACATACCATTCTTACCTACCTTACCTGGTTTATCTGATAGTCAAAAGAAATTCAATATCTAATATATATATATAAATAATATAATTTTTTATCGAATAAAATTCGAATCTATCTGGCTATGGGGTGTGGGGTTGGTTATTCAGTTTTTTTTTTGTGGCCAGAAAAAAGTGTAAGCTTACACTAAAAACAACATTATTGTAGGAAGAATCTATGAAGTGAGATAGACAATGTAACTTCATTTGTTCTTTTCAAAAAAGACTAAGCATACCAACAATAACTATACTATTTGCAAATGACATACTTCAAATTTTGGAAGATCTAATGATAGAAAATAATACTAGAGATAGGACTATTATCAATGGCGAAGTTAAATTTTTTGTTAACGATGTTTAAAATTTTAATATATTTATCTCAAAAAAGAAGTTGTCAACCTATATATACAATATCATTTTCTGATAAAAAGTACATTCAAGTGACCATCCATAGAACAATGCAACTATAAACTATCACCGATAAACATTAAGCATGAAGATGAAGTCAAATATAATGAAAAAGACTTGTTAACATTCGAGAATCTTATCATCTGTTAGGTGGGCCAATGGATCAACCAAATTGAGCTAAAAAGGGGACCAACAAAAGATACCCCATGTTGAGTTCAAGTGGAAAAGTCGAGGGGACTTTTTAACTTGGGACATTGGTCGTTTGTGTTTTGTGGATTAAATTTGATGACAATTATTCACTCTGTGTCCTTTTAGAGTTGAGTGATCTTCAAAGCATCCTCAATTCATTTTTTCTAGCGCTCCTTAATTAGATCCATAACTGATATTGCTTATATAAGAGTAACAAGAGAACTAAAAAATATAATAAAATTATCAACTAAAAAAGACTAAGTCAAGCTGATATTAACCAAACAAATACCTTCCTTCGCTATGCAAAGATATTTCAGTAGAGAAAGGTAGAAGGACAAGATCGTTATTGATAAATAATAAAAAAAGGACTCTAAAGATGCCCTAGGGTTGAGTTCTAGGGGTAAAAGTTGAGAAACTTGTGATTCATGTCACATATTTGAGTTTGCTCGATACTATCAGAACCTAATATTAAAGTGAAGAAAAATAGTTATAGCAAACCCATTATTCTCGAGTTTCAAAAGCTATGATTGATCTAGGAAGTTGGTCCTAAAAAAATAAAAGTAGAGGGACCCAACTAAAGATTCTGACTCATGAGGATTGAGTCATAGGCTCTGTATTAATCAAAGCCCACTAGCATTGAATATTCATAAAGCAGGTTAATTAAGTCTTATATTATTGACAATGTATCATATATTAAGACAAAAGTGATCAATCACACATTTTCAAATCAGAAATAATGCAACTTTATAGAAAAGAAAAGGCAACTTGATGGACAAAGCATCCTCTATTAATAGGATTTGATGAAAAAACCGCATCTCAAGAAAGAATGCGATGTAGACATCCTACCTTAATGCAACCATAAATGACTACTTTTATAGTTTGAACCCATAACCTATAGATTACACGAAGAGAACTTTATTGTTGCTTCAAAGCTCCACATCGAGTCTTGCAGTATAGAAAGTTAGAATACCAAACAAAAGCCAACATCAGGAGATCACAAACACATCTCATTCTATCAACAGAAACTTACACAAGTAAATGAAGCACTTTACAAGAATTGTCCACAATAAAAGAAAAGGAAGAAAGTACTATACAAGATTAAAGCAAAGAAGCACAATCTGGTTGTGTTTCAAAACCTAACTTCTTGCAAAGTAGCTAACTATAACTCAAGTAAAAACAACCCGATTTCAGACACCAAACTTTCAGATTCTTTAGCCAAATCCAACTAGTTCGGAATTGCGATGTAGTTGATTGATACTTGAACAAAGACAGTTTTTTTTCATCTAAACATCTAAATATGGACTCAAATGTGTGTCCCTTCAAGGCATGAAAATGGCAACCACAAGATCCATTTATGAAACAAAGACTAATGATATGTTTCTTTTGATTTGTTCGTGCCATCCTTTAGCAATGACCATGCTGATCTTCTCTGTATCGTTCAAATTTCAACATCGACTAATCATACTTCTCTCTTCAAGAATGCACAAGAAAGAAAACCCAAGAAAGTCCTAAAACAATGTCAGCAACAACAACAAGATCCATATATGAAACAAAGGAAGTAAGGCAACATAGACTAATCACACTTTTCTCTGATTTGTTTGTGTCATCCTTGAACAAGGGTGATGCTAATCTTCTCTGTATCATCCCTCGAAGGGACGAACGAAGACTAATCATACTTCTCTCTCCAAGAATACACAAGAAAGAAAACCCAAGAAAGTCCTAAAGCAATGTCAGCAACAACCAATCTCAGCCAATCGTGTCCGAGATCCTCCTCAAGCTTCCTCTCAAAGTAAATTCTCCAAACAGCCATAGCTATATGAAGGAGGACACATCCCTTAGCAAAGAAATTGTGAAACTCTCTGTCTTTAACAAATGCCACCATGAACAAGAAAAAACCAATGGCAAATAAAAGCAGACCAGAGAATGAATCTGATGTTTGGATTATCAATTGGTCATGGGGTGTCGATCCAAAAAGCTTACTCGCACGCTCTCTTCCATGGCTAAATATAAATACCTCATTGCTATAAAACATCATCAAAGCCCCAGAAGTTAAGGCCACCATAGAATGAAGCATACACAAGAGGAAAAAACCAGATGACCCCATTTGATCTTTTTGAAACACCCAAATTATCTCCTTTTTTAACTCACCAAAGCTTCAATCTTTGTACAACAAGAAGAACAACTACGCCTCTGTTGAGTTGGTTATATGAATCCCACTTCTTGATTATACTAAATAAGAGGAAAAAACCATATGACCCTATTGATTATTTGAACCAATACCCAAAATTATCTCCTCCTTTTAGCTCACCAAAGCTTCAATCTTTATACAACAATAACAACTATGACTCAATCCCAAACAAGTTGAGGTCGCTATATGAATCCTCACTTCTTCGTTTAAGTTCATATCATACTAAATAATAGGAAAAATCCAGATGGCTTCCATTCATCACTTGAAACACCCAAATTTATCTCCTTTTTTAGCTCTCAAACGCTTCAATTCTATGCCTGGAGAATACATAAAGGGCAACATACAGATTACACTTTTGATCACTTGAACCACCCAAAATTATCTCCTTTTTAGTTTAAACTCAAAAGCTTCAAGCTTAATGAGTGGAGAATACACATATAAGAGGAAAAATCCAGATTGACCCTATTGAGGACAAACCAAAGGTTCAATTTTTCAATACATAAAGAGGACAAACTACAGATGAACCTACTGATCATTTCAAACAATACACAAAATTACCTCCTTTTTAGCTCACCAAAGGTTCAAAATTTATGAGTGGATAATACATAAGAAGGAAAAAACTAGATAACCCCTTTTGATTATTTCAAACACCCCAAAATTCTCTCTTTTTTCAGCTCATCAAAGATTCAATTTTTAGGCACAAAAACATCATCAAGATTTTCACTTCAGGTACAAAATAATGAATCACATATATCAAATCTTTGGCCACCTATTCACAAGAAATCCAGAAAACAAAACAGTGAGACTTTTTTAACCAAATGTTGAAAGAATGAGTTTTTCCTCAATTCTCAAGCACCCCATCAAACAAAATAGTAAAAAAAACTAACCAAATGTTCAAAAGAAAGAGTTTATCAACTTCATAAAACAAAATAGTGAAAAAGACTAACCAAATGTTCAAAAGAAAGATTTTTTCCTCAATTCTCAAGAACCCCATGAACCAAAACAGTGAAAAAGACTAACCAAATGTTCAAAAGAAAGATTTTTTCCTCAATTCTCACGAACCCCATCTAACAAAACAGTGAAAAAGACTAACCAAATGTTCAAAAGAAAAGATTTTTTCCTCAAAACACAAGAAACCCAGAAAATAAATTGTCCAAAAAAGGATAAATCATTAACATATATACCTGAAAAGAGATCACTCTGGGATATGAACAACAGGAAATTGGTCCATTTACAGCCCTCCAAATGTCATTTTTTAAGAATTTAAGGTAATTCTTTTTTGTGACTGATCTGGATGAAAGCCTAGACAGACAGATGGACTTCAAGATTTAGAGAGAGAAAAGAAAGCTTTGGATCCAAAAACCCAAATTCTCAAACAGCTGGAAAGTGATGGAAGGCAAGGAATATGGAAGAGATATTTCTTTCTTTTTCTTCTTCTTTTAGTTGGCTTTTAATAAAAGGGATATGGAAAAGATTTTATAGAGAGAGTGTAAAAGAAAAGAACATAAAATCCTATTACAACCAAATACTTGATTGTTACTTCCGTTGTTTCAATTACGTGCCATATTTTAGATTTTAAAGTTCAAATAAATCTATCTTTTATTGTAAATTTTTCATATATCTCTTAAATATTTTAGATTGTCAATTATTACGATTTATAGTATTTTTACGTAGTTTATAAATATATAAATTTTATTTCAAAAAAATTAAAGATTTCATGTGCAAACTCTTGATCAAACTTAAACGGTTTGACTCTCGAAAAATGAAATGTGTCACATAAATTGAGACAACAAAAATATTATTTTTTATTGTATTATATAATTAAATAAATTTGTTACTATATAATGGTAAAAGTCTTATTTTATAAAATAACTGATTTGGTATGATAACATTGCTTTTTTTGTTTTTTCATTGTAATAGAGTCGAAGTCTTTCAATGAACAACTTTTCTACCTTGGGCTCGGAGAGACAGTGATAAACACTACGTACACTTTACCCTCTTCATTATTTACTTTATAGATTTCACTAGATATGTTATTGCTATTGTTTGCTATGTACCTTATATCTCTTGTAGATTTGTATTTCAAATAATTAAAGTATGACATTATATAAAATGTACCATGTATTCAAAGGTTATATTTATTAAAATAATATAATATTTTTTAATATAATATAATAAATATGATATAATATATTATGAAATGGTACGTGAGTGTAGGGACGGTTACTAATGCTACGGATATATTTTTTTGTATTTATAAAGATAAAATCTTTGGTGTAGATTAAACGTTTTTACTATTTTTTCTGATTTTGTTCTTTTTTTGCCTTCTTTTCCTTTTTTGTTTCTTGTTGTTAATTAGTGGTGATTATGTTATGTAGTAATTAAAGGGATTAATTACACTTAATTCTTAATAAAAAAATTAATTTATTTCTCGTGAGATTTGACTAAGTACATACACCCCCATTAATTGAATTGTTCATTTTCTATCACTTTCCTTGTGAATTTTCACATATTTATATTTATAATTTAATTATCATACACGTTATGTTAAAATTATATTATTATTTCATATTTAATAATGATAAAATTCTATAAATAGTTAATACAATATATTTTTAATATGAAATAACTAAACACACATATTTTAACTAATTAAAGATTAAATATATTAATATGGTAGGGCAAAAAAATCTTGAAGTCATGGGCTTACATGATCTACTATAATAATCATGGTTTTGGATTAGGTTATTTTCAATTATTTTACTTTCTTTAAAGTGATGAAATACAATTTATTTGTAGTTATCTTAAAATTATAGGCCCCCCTCTATTCTTACACCCATGATAGAAGACAAGTTTTTTTGTTTTTTTATTTTCTACTTTTTACCCTTTTTAAGTGAGGGAAAAGTAAAGGTAAAAATCATGCACACCTATACTCACATTCAATATTTACATTAAAGTATAATCATACATAAATTATAAAGTAAAGTGAGAATATATATATAACGTAAGGGGTCATAACGTACTTTCAACAATAAATGAGAAGAAATTGAAACTTACAAATAAATCGCATTCGTTGAATGCGTTTTATGCCTTTCTTACTCAGCGATCAATTAATATTGAGTATAAAATGAAAAAATAATAATTATCTATTCTAGATATGATAAATGTAATAAATAAAAGAAATAAATATATTTTGAAAATATTGGACAAATAAAATTAAACAGAAGGGGTAATAACGTAATTTTGACAATAAATGAGAAGAGACTGAAACTCACACATAAATCGCATTCGTTGAATGCGTTTATGCCTTTCTTACTCAGCTCAATTAATGTTGAGAATAAAATTAAAATAATAATTATATTTTCTAGATAAGATTAAAGTAACAAATAAAAGAAATAAATATATTTTAAAAATAATAGAATAATAAAATTAAACAAAAGGGGTAATAACGTAATTTCAACAATAAAGGAGAAGAGACTGAAACTTACAAATAAATCGCATTCGTTGAATGCGTTTTATGCCTTTCTTACTCAGTTCAATTAATGTTGAGTATAAAATGAAAAAAATAATAATAAAATAATAATAATTATCTATTCTAGATATGATAAAAGTAATAGATAAAAGAAATAAATATATTTTAACAATATTGGATAAATAAAATTAAACAGAAGAGCTAATAACGTAATTTCAACAATAAATGAGACTGAAACTTACACATAAATTGAATTCACGGAATGCGTTTTATGTCTTTCTTACTCAACTCAATTAATGTTGATTATAAAATGGAAATAATAATTATATTTTCTAGATAGGATTAAAGTACAAATAAAAGAAATGAGTATTTTGAAAATATTAGACAAATAAAATTAAACGGAAGGGGTAATAACTTACTTTCGACAATAAATAAGAAAAGACTGAAACTTACACATAAATCGCATTCGTTGAATGTGTTTTATGCCTTTCTTACTCAGCTCAATTAATGTTGAGTATAAAATGAAAATAATAATTATATATGATAAAAGTAATAAATAAAAGAAATAAATTTATTTTAAAAATATTGGATAAATAAAATTAAAAAGAAGGGCTAATAACGTAATTTCAACAATAATTGAGACTGGAACTTACACATAAATCACATTCGCGGAATGCGTTTTATGTCTTTCTTACTCACCTCAATTAATGTTGATTATAAAATGGAAATAATAATTATATTTTCTAGATAGGATTAAAGTAACAAATGAAAGAAATAAATATATTTTAAAAATATTAGACAAATAAAATTAAACGAAAGGGGTAATAACGTAATTTCAACAATAAATGAGAGGAGACTGAAATTCACACATAAATCGCATTCTTGAATGCGTTTTATTCCTTTCTTACTCAGCTCAATTAAGTTTAAGCATAAAGAGAAAAAAATATTTATCTATTTTAGATATGATAAAAGTAATAAATATATTTTTAAAATATTGGATAAATAATATTAAACGGAAGGGGTAATAACGTAATTTCGACAACAAATGAGAAGAGACGGAAACTTACACATAAATCGTATTCGCTGAATGTGTTTTATGCCTTTCTTACTTAGCTTAATTAATGTTGAGTATAAAATGAAAGTAATAATTATATTTTCTAGATCGGATTAAAGTAACAAATAAGAGAATGAGTATATTTTAAATATATTAGACAAATAAAATTAAAAATTACTTTTCGACAATAAATGAGAAGAGACTGAAACTTACACATAAATCGCATTCGCTATGCATTTCTTACTCAGCTCAATTAATGTTGAATATAAAATGAAAAAAATAATTATCTATTCTAGATATGATAAAAGTAATAAATAAAAGAAATAAATATATTTTAAAAATATTGGATAAATAAAATTAAACAAAAGGGCTAATAATGTAATTTCAACAATAAATGAGACTGAAACTTACACATAAATCGCATTCGCTGAATGCGTTTTATGCATTTCTTACTCAACTCAATTAATGTTGATTATAA